GGGCGTGGCGGGCAAGCAGGTGGAATGGGCAGGAGAGGGCGGGTTTTGCTGAGGGGCTGTTGCTAGAGCGGGGGCCTTTCCACCCTCGTTGATTGCAGGGGGTGGGTGGGTGGGCGTGAATGGGTAGGTAGCGAATGTTTTGATCGTTGCTGTCAAAAGTTTAGATGCGAACATGTAATCGACCGTCCCAGCGCATGGACACACGGACAATCTTACCCTTAACCACCACCACCAGAGGGAAGTATGTTGCCGTCGTTCGCAGCGCATTGCATATCCTCCTGTTTGCTGCATCTGCCCTCTGCGTGCTGCGTGTTGCGTGTCCGGGTTGCATGTTAGGGTGCGTGTTTTCATGTTGGACAGACCTGACAGGGGACTTGGCCGCCACGCCGCCTAGGGTGCTCCCTGAAACCGCTGCTGCAGAGGGAAGTATAGGGAGCTCAAGATCCCTGAAACCGCTGCAAGGGGATGAAGAAGCATCAGCAGCCGTCGAGCAGCTCTGCAGCTGCAGCGGCAGGTTCGAAAAGCAGAAAGCAGAAAGCCGCGGCCTCCAGCGATGAGGACGACGACCACTGGATGGACGTCAGGTGGGCGAGCGCTGATGACGGATACAGATACAGACACAGACACAGACACAGATCTCTGCAGCTGCGCGCCAGATGAAGATGGTGACGATAAGGAGGACTACTCAGACATGCCTGGCCTGGAGTTCGATGTCGGCTTCGGTGGCGCATCTCCGGCTGATGCAGAGCGCCCCAAGAAGCTCAGCAAGGACTTCGAAAACAAGCTCAAGGGCGTCTTTGCCAAACAGCGGCCGGCGCCGTCCAACCAGTCGCGGCAGGACCAAGGGCACGAGCCATCAGACGACGCCAAGAGGGCGGCCGCCATGCAGTTTCTGCGGAATATGTCGCCCTTCATGGGCCTCGAGGAACTACTACATCCCAGTCCCCTGGGCGAACCTTCATCGCCCTCATCATCGGCAGCAGCGGCCGCCGGCCCTGCCCCTCCCAAGCAAGCGTGTTACGACCCCACCTGCACCTTCTGCGGCAAACCCCGCCCTGATGCAGATGACGATGAAGGTGACGTCACCGAGGATGACACGCCATCAAGTGGAGGGGCCAGGGGGGCGGGAGGAGGCAAGAGGGCTGCCGGCAAGGGGGGCAGGAGAAAGAGGGACAAGGGGCAGGTTGGTGGGGCCGAGTGGCAAAAGACCGTAGAGGAGAGAGGGCGGGACGCCGTAGTGTCTGTGTTGGTGGCCCTGCTGACCACGGCCAAGGGTTCGGTGGCTGACGAGGCACGGCTCAAGGGCGTCATCAAGAAATCCCTCGACACACTCATCGATCTGGCGTTCGATGAAGATGCCGAGTACTCGCCTTTCGCCGCTTCAGAGGTGAGCACGGAAACGATCTCTGGTCTCATCACTCTCTCATTCTTCTCTCTGTGTGTGTGAAGATGGAGCCCCTTCGGCTCGCAACCAAGCGCAAGCTCGGCGTCGCCCCCGGAGGCGCCCTGACGATCGTCGAGCAGATGACGGCCGAGTTTCAGATTCTCTGCGAGTAGCAGAGATACCCCAAGTACCCCGGCTTCGCCACAGATCCGGACATCAACGGCGACCTCCTCGACAAGTGCGCCGACCGGGTGCTCGCCAGTGCGTGGCGCCCGAGCTACGCCAAGGGCTCCGCTGCTGACGTGTACCGCAGCAAAAGGCTGGTGGAGGCCATCACGGGTGCGGACACCGACGGGCTAGACCGGCTGAGGAAGCGGGAGGCGGCCTTCGTGGATGAGCTCCTGGCCACTGATCCGAAGGTGCCCGAGCCGGCTGTGGATGCTGCCGCTGCTGCTGAGGTGTCGGGGAAGACCAAGCGACTCAAGCCGCAGGAGAGCCAATACGTCTTCGAGCTGCGAAAGGTACGCACAGACGGGCACTTGATGAAAGGAAGGGTCGCTTTCTGCACGACACATGGGCCTCTCTGTCTGTCTGTCTGTGTGTGTGTGTGTGTGTCAGCGGCAGCTCTTTGCGTTGATGGCTGAGGTCCGACTAAATCTGTTGCTGGCGCACAAGGCCAACAAGGAGGAAGAGACCAAGGCGCTCTCCTCGCGCGAGTACGAGGGGCAGCGTGCCAAGGCGACCGAGGCCGTGCTGTCCATCTACCGTGACGTGATCGCAAAGCAGCTGCCTGTGGTGGTGGAGCAGATGGACAGCGGGGAGTACGACGAGCACCTGCAGCGGCTGGGGTACGACGCGCAGACGATCGCCGTGGCGCCCAGGGGCAAAAAGGCCACCATCCTGGTCGATTTCATGACCGACGCCTTCATCGACTGCGGGGAAAAGTGGAAAAAGAGGTAGGGTAGCCAGGCATCACGTGGGCAGGCAGCTTATGGATATCCGCCATCTTTGTCTTGTCATTGGGTGCAGGTTGCCTTTCCATGCCGTCAGCCCGCGAGTTATCGCCGAGAGTGTCTACTCCACTCAGGAGAAAGTAGTGCAGCAGGTACCTGTGTCGGCAGACAGAGTGGCACCGCACCCAGCATGATTGTTTGCCGTGTGTTGCTCCTGTCTGTGTGTATGTGTGTATGTATCAGGCTGGCCCTGATCGCCACTTTTCGTGTGGCGAGACCACCGATATTCCCTTCGTCGCCGTCAACAAGACCATGACCGACAGTGAGGTAAGGCACTCCAACGGCCTTCACCCACCCTCCCTCCCATGAGCCCCCACCCACACACACACTCACACTCCGATGAATCCTTTGCTGTCTGTGTGTGCGTCTCTCCTTTGTTCCCCTCTTATCAGTTCATTCCGCCCATCCATCGGCTGAAATCAATGGAGCTCCTCGTCCTGGCCAGCAGCAAGGTGCTCGAGATGCGGCGGCAGATCATGGCGCAGTTCCAGGTAGACTCTGGCAAGGGGAGAAACCCGTCGGCGGGGAGGTGACGTTCTTGTGGTGCATGTGTGTGAGGCAGGACACTCTGGCTGATCCGAGCGTGCGCGACAACCCCACCAGTGAGGCTCTCGCCAGGATCATGCTCAAGCAGGCCAAGGAAAAGTTTGCAGCCATCCAGGCGATGCACGAAACACGACTCAAAGACAAAGGTGATGATGAGCATGATGCGATGACCCTTTCGATGCCTCCGTCCATCAGTCCATCCGTGTGTCTGTTGCCTGTCATGTCTTGCCTCTGTTCATTCAGAGGATGTTGCCCGAGAGGTCGCCGGCCTGCCGCCCCTTCACGCCAAGCAGTCGGCCAAGGAGCGAAAGGCCCAGCTCATCGAACGCATGCGCGAGCGACAGAAGCGCACCAACCAGAAGAAGGGCGCCCACCAGCAACACCAGCAGCAGCACCAGGACGGGCCGGCGGGGGAGGGCCCGTCGCCATCATCGCAGGTCGACAAACATCATGAGGAGGATCAGGAGGAGGCCCGCCGGCGCGACAAGGAGCTGCTGCTCTCGCTCGGTGACGCCGTCAGCGACTCGGACGACGGTGCGGGGCAGCAGCAGCAGCAGCAGCCTGCAACGGCGGCAGGGGGCAAAAAGAAGAAAAAAAGGAAGAACAAAGGCGGTGGTAGCGGAGGGGGTGGGAAGGTGGAGCCGTCAGCTGCTGGTGGTGGTGGTGGAGTCGAGGCAGCAGAGGCGACAGAGGCGACACCTTCGGCAGCTGCTGGTGGGGTGGACTCTGCCATTCCATCTGCCGCTGCTGACGCTGCCGATGCGCATCGGCCGTCGAGTTTGGGGAGCTCATTCAGGACAGAGGAGGGGATCGAACAGAGGTCAGTGTGTCACACTGTGCCACGCCATGTGCACACAGAGGGGAGAAGAGGTATTCATGTGGCTGTGTGGGTGCAGCCTTGACGAGGGCGACTGGACTTATCGCAGCAGACGCCGTGGCCAGCACAGGCAGACAGCAGGGGAGGGCAGCGGCAACGCAGCGGACAGCCAAGTGCAGCAGAGCAGGTCACTACATGAATGGATGGATGGATGGATGGATGGGCGATTTGTGTGTGTATGTGTGTGTGTGTGCGTGTGTCAGGGCGTCCGGCAGCACCTCTCAAACAGAGGGCTCGTCTGTGCCGCCCCCACCTGCAGACGGCCATGCGGAATGGCACAACGGCCACCTGTTTTACCCGGTAGGGGAGGGCATCGCACCCCGTCAGCAAGAGCCACCGAGCGGCACATCCAAAAGGTAGACCGGCCGATCGACGAAAGCACGTCGATGGTTTATGTGTGTCGGTGTTCGTGTGTGTGTGTGTGTGTGTGTGTGTGTGCAGTCGTGAGCAGGAGTATGCCCGGCAGCAGCGTGTGATAGAGCAGCTGCAGCGGCAGCTCGACACACTCAGACAACATGCGCCAAACAGGTGAGTAAGGAAGGAGTCAGTCGCCCTCGCCCACCACACCGACCATCCATCCATGTGTTCTCCTCCCCTCCCTCTCTCTCTCTTCAGGATGTCTGGGAGCGTGTTGGAGACCGATGACGTCTCGTCGTTGTGTACGTCGGCCGAGCAGATCAGGGCTGAGATCGACCGGCTGACAGCGCTGGAGAGCAAGGTGCTGCAGCGCATAGGGCAGATAAGGGCGATGCAGGCAGGCCGCAGGTAGGTAGATAGGTAGACAGACATGCTGCCTGCCTGGCTGTAGACGGTTGGCTGAGACGATCGATGGATGGAATGGATGTGGTCCGTATGTGAGTGAAATGATGCACGAGAGTCTCGGTGAGCCACACGGCACGGCACGGCCAGATGCCGAGTACAGAAGGCAAACAAGCAGTCAGTCAGTCTATCGATCAAAAGCCACGTTCACGTCCATCGATGTGTATCCATTCCCATCTCCCGCCCCCCCTTCATGCCTGTCAAGGTCTGACTAAGTACACTCCCACTCTTTGCCAATATTCATTTACACACCAGTATCAGCCCCAGCCCCTGTCCGTCAATCTGACCACTACCGAGCCAGTCGTCAAACACACACACACACACGCACACAGAGCACACAGGAGATGCGAAGATGGTCACACAATCAGTCCAATCAGGCCCATTCCCTCACCTTCAGGCATTGCGAACTGCAGTTATTATCACCCATCTCTCCACAATGCCATCCCCATAGTTATCATGTCTGATGTCGGTGCGTGTGACGAAGCCGTTGATGTTGTTGGTGCTGACAGGAATGGAGGCTTCGATGGAAGCCTGCTGCTCAGCTGTCATCCCGTCGACTCTCAGCTCCACACACTGCACAGACTGCATGTCCCTGATGCGCGAGGTCACCGATGAGAGGCGGTCGCGGACGAAGCTGCCCGCATCGTTGATTGGTTGAGCGAAGCCGCCTCGGCCTCCACGACCTCGACCTCCGCGACCTCGGCCTCTGCCGCGTCCACGTCCGCGGCCTCGGCCTCTACCGCGTCCACGTCCGCGGCCTCTCTGGATCTGGGCTTCATCTGACTGGGCCTCCACACCGTCACGCACTGAAGGGGAGGGAACACAAGGCGGAAATGAGGACGGAAGGACACACTTACCCACTTCTCTCGGCGTACGTGTCAGATAGAGACATAGTGTCTTGATGGTTGGAAATGCGTCGGCCGCCCCCACTAGCTGGTCGACGGTTTCCTGCCTCATCCGCACCGTATTCACCTCCCTCTCACTCCCCAGCGCCGTCAGCACTCCCACCTTCTCCCCATCCGACAAAGGGTCGCTGTGTACATCCCCCACCTCCTTGGGCATCTTGCTGGCAAACAGCCGGGCAGCAGCACCACCCAAGTCGCTCCAGACACGCAGCTCTGGGGCCACCGCTGAGACTTTCGGGAACGGCTGTAGGTGGGTGATGATGGAGGGGTGGGGCGATGGGGTGTTGGCCATGGGACCAAAGTCGCTTAAGACCTCCACCGACACGAACGTGCCGAAAAAGAGGCCGGATACGACGTCGATGGCCGATTGGCTGGGGTCGGTGTGCGGGTCGGTCAGGCCGTCTTGAGTGAAGATGTACTTCACTGATGCGGCCCTGTCTGCCAGCTACTGGAGCATGGTCTTGAATGAGGGTGACGGGTCGGTGGGGAACTCGTTGTGGTAGAAGATGGAGAGGTCGAAGCCGAAACGGGCGAGGACTATTTCTTCAAGTATGAGTGGGGCGTTTGGTCGACAGCACGTGCCGACCAGTCGGTCCAGAGCCAGCATCAAACTCCACGTGCAGCTGCTTGAGTGACCCTCGGCAGCCCCGCGCCAGCATCACCTCCTAAAGGCAAGAACACGCAAATATGGGACATCATGAGCCAACCCACACACTGTACATGTGTGTGCGTTGTATTCACCTGAAGCCGGTCGATGCCCGCCGGATCGCTGCCTTCGACCACGATGGTGCCGATGCTCTCCAAGTTGCTAAGTGGCCCGCCGCGCTGCCCCGCAGGCGCCGCAGGGATCCCCTCAAACACACCCGCCCACTCCCCACCCCTAAAGCTGCCGTCCACACGCCGCAGCGAGTGGGACGTACTGATGAATTGGCCCAGTCTGTCAGCGCCCCATCTCTCCCGCCGCGCGACGGCGAGTGAGGGCATCAGCCAGCGTCGGTCGGCCAACTGCCAATGGTCGTCTGTCAGGCCGGCAATGGTGGTGAGTGCGTGCAGGGTGGGGGGCGGGTCGAGAGGGGCGGGGAGGGGCGGATGTGTCCGCGCGCCGGTCTGCCTCGCCGTGCCGGTCAGCCGAACCCCTTCGATAATGATCGTCTCCAGGGCCGCGCCATGCTGCCTCTCCACCATCTCCACCAAGACGTCGAAACACCACATGGGGGAGCCGAGTGGGTACCGGAGGGTGATGCTTGTGAGGCGGGTGAGTCGGGCGGCCAGCTGGGCGATGGAGGCGAGATGGACGTGCTGCCAGAAGGACCGCTCCTCCTTGGTTGCCGAGCTGATGGTGACGTCCGAGAGGTCGGGTGCGGCCTTCTCCCAGATGGACCTGGCCAGCTGCACCATCAGATTGATGGGCAAGAAGGCCATCATGTAGCTGAGAAGGCCCTCCTGAAACACAACCACACAGCATACGGGACGGCAATCGATGTCCTGAATCACCGTGTCGCTGATCTTCTTGCGCAAGGGTCTTTGACTCTCCTCCCGTCGCTGCCGCTCCTCGTCACTCTCAACACTAGCACCAGCAGACGCAGACGAAGCCGCAGTCGCCGCGTCACCGCGGCAAGAACTCATCTTGACCTGCACCAATGGACCATGCACACACAGCCGACACCCATGTGGCGAAATGCCCCATCCATTGCCAGCGGTGCTGTGATGCGCCTCACCTGTCTAACCCTCCTCCATGATGGCGGCACCGATGCGAATTCGCACGTGAATTCGCCTTCTCTCTGCGATGACAACCCTCGAGAACGATTCTTCTCATCAACTCATCGATCTAAGGGGAACCAGGCACAATACGGGACTCCAGCCGATGCTGCACAACCTCGCTCCTTCAGCTCTCTCCGATCTCTCTATCGCGGATCTTTGGCCGATCGCTCGTGAGCTAAAGAGAAAGAGGAAGATGCTGGCAGAGTGCATTGCCATCGCCCTCCCCCACATTGCCTGCTACGTGGGCCTCTTCTGCGATCCCCCCAAGCCCGAGGAGATTGCCCAGGCTGTGGGCCGCTGGTGGCTATGGCACGTCCGCGGCAGTGAGTCATCACACCCAGACAGACACAGACAGACGACACACACACAGATCTTCTGCTCGTTGTGTGTGTTGATTTGTCTACAGCATGGCCTCAAGACCAGCCGCCCCCGTGGTGCAGCAAGAGGTCGAGAGGGCTCTGGCAGACCAGCGATTTGTCTACAGCATGGCCCGGTGGTGCAGCAAGAGGTCGAGAGGGCTCTGGCAGACCAGCGGGCCGTCGTGGCCATCAAAGACGAGCAGCTCAACAACCTGCGCCGCCAAGTCGCCGAGAAGAACGCCGCCGCCCAGGGCCAGCAGCTCCAGGTCGACAGCCTGGAGAGCTGCCTAAGGGAGGAGGAGACCGCCGGGAGGGCACTACACCAGCGGCTCCGTGCCTCTCAAGACGGCCTGGAGGCGGCCGAGGAGAGGCAGACCACTCTGCGAGAGGTAGGGCAAACAAACAGCACACACACGAGGGGCGGGCTGCTCGCTTCGTCTGGTGATCGATCTCCCCATTTTGTCTGCAGCTGCTCAACAGCGCCATCGCCCGCAACGAGGAGCTCCTGGAGAGCCGCGCAGACCTGTCGCAGGAGAACACCCGCCTCGCCAAGAACAATGAGGAGCTGCAAGACCTGCTTGTGGCCGCCATCCAGCAGCGACCCACGGACGACGAGAGCGATAGCAACGACAGCGATACGCCTGCGGTGAGTCACCCCATACCACACACACACACACGCGCGCGCATCACTCAGACACATGGTGGGATGGGCTGTGCGTGTGTGTTTGTGTGGGTTCGTTGCCTGCAGGATGTCGATGGTGAGCCAGGCAGCCAGCCACCCTCGCCGACTGCCGACGAGGACGAGATTGAGTGGGGCGCGTTCCAGTCGGCGTGTGTGCGACGGCCGCTTAATGCTGCGCTGGCTGCTGCTGCGGCTGCCGGTGCCGGCGCGAGCGGCAGGGGCGTCGGTGAGGTGTACGTTCCCGGCCTGCGCTTCTCGAGCGGCCTGTTGCTGCCCGTGCCTGATGTGCCGCCGCCCATGCCCGAGGAGTACGAGCGCATCTCTCGGGAGCGGGTCAGTGAGGATGGCAGGGCAGGGCAAGGGGAGCCGCTCATGTATCCATTCACTCACTCACCGCATTTGTCTCTCTGTCTCTTTGTGCAGTACTTCTACACCGAGGGATACGAGCGCATGAGGAACTCGATGAACGCCAAGATAGCCGCCCTGGAGAGGGACAAGGACGACTACCGCCGCCAAGCCAGCGAGGCTGAGGGAGACGTGGAGGCCCTTCAGCAAGACCTGGAGGAGCTCAACTACCAGGTGCACGCCATGTACCAAGAGAGCCAGCAGCAGGAACGGGTAAGTTCCCTCCCCCCAAACGCACCGCAGCACAACGCGGTCATCTGTCTGTCTGTCTGGGTATGTCTGCATGTCTGTGTTGTGTCTGTTGTCTGTCGTTCAGGGTCTGGAGGAAGCACAGGCCGAGATCACCAAACTCAATGAGCAGACCCTATTGTTGCGGCAGCAGCAGGAGGTACGCCACGCCACGCCAGGAAGGAGAAACACACACACTGGCTATGATATGTGTGGATGGCCTGTTTGTTCGTTCCTTCAGGAGAGCCGTCCGTCAGCAGTGTCCCCGCTGAGCTCCTCGTCATCGTCTCCACAAGCCTGGCGGCCATCTCTGCGTTTCACGCCAACGATTTGTCCCTCTGCGGCTGACTCAGCCCCTGCCGCAGCACGCCCCACACTCAACCGCACCCGATCCATGCCGGCCGGCGGCCCCGGTGTCCAAGACGCCGTCCAGGAGGCCGCCACAAGCCCTGCTGTTGCTGCTGCTGCTGCTGCCGTGGGACCCCCGGAGCGGCCACAGCCATGTGCGCCCGTTGCTGCTGCTGCAGCACCGCCGGTGGAGAGCGAGGCACCTTCTGCCCCTGCATCTCAGCAAGGGACACCCACCACCCGCAGCCGAGAGTCGCGGAAGGTCACGAACGTCCCCGCACCCCGCCACCACTGATGGATGGATGGATGGATGCCAAGTGGACGTGGGGATGCTTGTTGGCGTGGCGTGATGGATCTACGATGCATGGCAGGAATCGTTTTCCATGGTGGTGGGGCTTTGGTCAACAGTCGTAGTACACGTGTGCGCGAGTGTGTCTTGGTAAAGCCGAATAGGCAGACAGACAGGCAGATGCAGCCAATTCTGGGCAGGAGGGGGGGAGGGGGAGGACTGGAGGACCAAAGGGACACACTGGATTAGTGGGTTCGGCGTTTGTCTGTGCGTTCGTTGTGCTTGTTGGCTCTTTTGGTCGTGTTGCTCGACTTTGGCGGGCCCGTTTTTGACCACACACAGAAAGGAGAGACACAAACACACACCAGTCTCCCGTGACTGGCAGGCTAACTGCCATTTAACTGATGCTGCTGGAGTACTTCTGCCTGGGCTGTTGGCCTGCTACCTGTTTGGACGCATTTGTGCTGCTTTGACTGCCTTTTAGGTACTCTCGGTCTATTGCTCTCGGCGCAGTGAAGTCGTGTGGGTGTGTGTGCGTCGAGCGGACAAGCACGGATGAGTACGTGGTAAAAGAGATTCCTTGCAACCAGGTTCTAGGCTGTACACACTGGTTGAATGAACCACACGATGAACGAACGCATCAAGGTGAACACCACTCACACACACACACACACGCAAACGGTCTCACACATGGACAGACACAGACACAGACAAATCGAATGTGTACCATGGATCCAGCCAGCGCACAGGTATGGACATCATCTACACAAGAGCCGCCCTCCTGCTGCAGCCGCCAGCAGCCAGGGGGCCACGATACGGGCTGTCCGGTCAGGGGCAATCAGTGGATGGCCATTATGTGTGATCTGAACCACACAGACAACCAAACACAGCCGTGAGCAGCAGCAGAGAGGCGGTGGTCTGCGAGTCGCTCTGCGTACCTAGCTTTATGTGAGTTGATTGCTGCTGCTGTGCTCATCCATCTAATCGACATTCCTGTCAGACAGACAGACAGACAGACAGCCAGACAGACAGCCAGCTCCTCCTCTCCCCACTCTCCCTGGTCGCCGTCCATGCCGTCCTCGGCCACGGAACCCTTCACACATACACAGACCACACACATTCATGAGTGGGCATGGATGACATGGCATGTGTGTGCGCGTGTGCCTCCTTCCACCTCATCTAGATCGTCGCTTCGGCCATCCTCCAGGCCGTCCTCATCCATACCATCCTGCACACACACACACAACAAGGAATCATCACGAGCATGTACATGGGTCACCCTCCCTACTGACCTCATCGAGCTGAGTAGGGGGAACGTGGCGAGCGTACATTTGGCGTGAGGGGGCACCGGGCGGCCCCCTCCCACCCATCGCCTCCCACCCATCTATCGTCTGCACCACACACTTCCCTCCCCCCGCCCCCCCCC